GCATATATGCACAGAGTCATAGAGGAACTCACAATTAAGAAGTAAGAAAACAACAAGAAAATGCTATAACTTCAACTAAGGCAAGTAAGGCCAAACAACGAGCAAGAGACAAACAAATGCTAACAACATCATATAGAGCATGTAAGTGTAGTCTAACAACAAGATACCATATATTATGACAATTTGATCAAAGTCATGGAAAAACACTAGACAATCTAACTGGTCAACACCACATATAAACTATGTACCCACTCGTCACATTACGTACACAGCTTTCACATATCGAGATAGCATAATTGACTCAATTCCTACGGGGTGGTTTCCCCACACACAAGGTTAGGCAAGATACTTATCTCAATTCGGCCAACTCAATACTCAATTTAACTTTTTCTTTACCAATTCACCATCGCTCGGCCCAATCTAGCCAAAGAAGACATAAATACATCAAACAATGCAAGAGAAAATAATTTTAATTAACAAAGCTATGATCCTTATACAATTAGCAAAAGTCAATTCCCCCGGCCCGCACCTCAAAACCTGACAAAATTTATAAAACCCGAACACCCATTCAATTACGAGTTCAACCATATTAGTGTCATTCAAATCCGGCTCCGAACCGATATTCAAAACTCAAGAATTCACTTTATGAAATTTTAGACAAAACCCCCAAATTTCACTTTGAAATCATCAATCAAATGCCTAAAACGAAGATGGATTTATGAAATATAACCAAAATCGAGTATAGAACACTTACCCCAATCCATATAGTGAAAATCACCTCCAAAAATTCTCCAAATCCGAGCTTCCCAACTCAAAATATGACCAAATGAACAAACTTTCGATATTAAGTATTTTTGTCCAGCTATTCTGCCTCGTTTTGCATGTCAAATGACCCCGAAACTCGCTTTTGATGCCTCCAATGGATTTCTTGTGAAATCTCAGTCAAGTTAGGCTTTTGAATCACGCCATTTGACCTTATAATGAAGGAGATATGTTGGTTTCAATATTCGAAAACAGTACAGATTTTTAAATACGAAGGCAGTGGCAATTTCGTAATTAATCTGAAGAATCTGACAGCCCAATTCTTAGCAAAATGACCATAAAATCCTCATACGATGTCCAAATTTGATAATTCTTTTTTGCTATGGGACCTTAATTATGATACGGATCTAATGCTTCAACAAAACAGAAATCAGAGCTTATTTGTTTAATGTGGTACCATTTATGCTTGAAGAAAAACGAATGCAACACAACCCAAACCTATCCAAAACTCACCCGATCCCATCGGGACCATGTACGAACATACCAACAAGTCCCATAACAAAACACGGACCTACTCGAGGCCTTAAATCATGCATAACAACATCGAAATGATAAAACGCGCCTCAAATCAAACTTAATGAACTTTCGAACTTTCGACTTCTAAAAACTCGCGCCGAAACATATCAAATCAACTTGGAATGAACTCAAATTTTGCACACAAGTCCTAATACATCATACGGAGCTACTTATACCCCTAAACTATCGAGTGAAGTGAAAATTCTCAAAACGACTGTTCGGGTCGTTACAAAATTTCTCATGTAGGAAATCTTAGTTAATAAATAGAACTCATAATTTCATAATGAAAAATACAAAAATATAAAGATACTATTAGGATATTATACATTAGATAATCTATATATATATATAGACACATACACACTCACACTTATTATTATTGATAAATTTCGACAACTGAAGAATTTGAACAGTATAACATAAGTTTTAAAAATATAAAAATATTTTCAGAGTAAGTAAATATATCTATATTATATTAAAAGAGAAGTAATATCAAATATTAAGCCAATTGACAAGTTAATAAAAAGTCATATCAATAAATATAAATAAGGAACAAATAATTTATTTGATTGCTATATAAATGTATATCCTTTGATTTTGAATAAATTTTGTTATATTTCTGTACATTATATTAAATAATAAAATAACAATTAATATTTATTAGAATAGTATAATATATTAGATCATAATATAATATATTATATTCGCCTAAACCTAACTCCTGAAGCCTTTAGGTTGCACTTGTCATTTAATTTTAGTTCCACTTGTCATTTGAAGCCTAGGAAAAGCCAGAGAAGTTAACCAGTGAGAAAAAAGTACTTCGTAAGGAAGAAAGCAGGAACAAGTAAGTGAAGAACATGTGTAATGTTGAAACCACAACTAAGAATAGTGGTAGTAAACATTTACATATTTCGAGGAAAGCCGCAACAAGGATGACCTTTTTGTGTGTGTCTGTCTCTGCTCGTGCAAACATGTGTGCTAAACTAATTGCCTTATATCAAATTCAGCTTTATCACAAGCCAAGGCACGCGGGAGCAGATGTGGATTCATAGAATACATCTCCTCATCTTAACCTTGTTCCGTTTATTTATTTAAACTTATGATTTAAGACAAGTTCGTGTACGTAGTTTAACACAAATTTGCCTTCGTTCACCTACTAGTTAAATAGAAAAAAATAATCTTGCCGACTCTATGATATAAGTTTACAGTTATTCTTTTAGGTGTCCTTCCAATTCTGCAATGGGCTTTTGGACAATTTGAAACTTGGTAACAAAAAAAAATTAAACCCTAGATTTTAACAAAGTGAATGGATAATGGCAATAACTGAAGCTTTACTAAGTTTTTAAAATTCATTGCCCATAGGCTTATGTTTAGGGTGGCTTTGTACAATCATTTTATTAAATTAAAGTTTAAAAAAAAGATATAGGGACACTAAGTCATTCTTGAAGACTTGCACGTATAGAAACATCCTTAGGTCAGCAGTGCATTTCGGCGTTTAACTAACTTATAATATGCAGACTTCTGAAAGGCAATTTGGAATGCAAATTCAGATATATGGCATTATGTCTCTGAATAAATCCATCTGAATTTGCATCAGAGTTGAAATCTAAAAGCTGCTGAAGATATATATTCCATTGATATTATCAACATAAAGGTGATATTTTATCACTGTGTCATTTTTAGAAACATAAAACATTTGATGAATCGCCTCTTTATACCTAGTTAACCCATAGTCGTGTGGGTTTACCCTTTTCTATTTTCCTTATTACAATTCAAATTTCTGATTTTCGGACGTATGCACCGTCAGCAATTGGTCTATTTTATAATCCCTCAATATTCAACTGTATCAGAGATATTTCTTAGCTTCATTAGGTAGAAAGAAAATCTTCATGACTTTCCATAGCTAAGCATCAGTCTAACTTTATTCAAAGTCTTTATTGGAAATCAAGACTACATATTACTGCCAAAGAAACATGGCAGTAAATATAATGAATAGGATGTATGTGTTGTACAATAGACCTATCTAGGCTCACCTAGCTAATTAATGGTAAAGTCATGGATAGAAAGAATGAATGGTACTTTTCCATAACCAAAGATGCATGAACTTATACGGGCAATGGAATATGCCTGTTCATTTCAAGTTCCAAAAACTTCAAAATCCTCAAGATTATGTTATGCAAGAAATTGCACGTGAATTTCAGTCACAAAAAGAAAGATGTGGATCTGTACGTACATAGCAATGGTTGTGAAAGTCTATCCAAACAATAAGGTCTTACACATATTCTATATATAATATTAGTAATTAATTAATTGGCTCATCAACATAATAAATACTTACTTCATTTTTTTGTTGACTATAATAATCAAATTCATTATATTCACCGAACCATTTTCTCATATAGGAACCATCTAAAACTTTCATCACCTCAAAAACTAATTAACGAACTATCATACTGGTCAATACAAGTGTTTAAACAAGAAGATAATTGAAACGTAATACCAAATTGGGGACAAAGTTGCAATATTTTTTCAACACTAAGAATGTAATATTGGCCTTCAAAGATGTGAAAGCTACCTAATTAAAGTTCCATCAGTTAGAAGGATCTGATCATAAAAGAGTTGAGATCCCAATTAGGGGAAAATATCTTGATGAGCATAATTATTCATACACTTGTGGAGTTGCTTTTTTCCTGCAAAAGAATTGGCATCCTCCCAATTAGCATCTAACTTGTAATTCTATATTAATTATTCTCCGTCTCATATTAACGGTCGTGATTATTAAAAATAATTGTCTCAAATTATTTGTCATTTTAAAAGTTCAAGAAAAAATTGATTATATTTTTTCTTTTTTACCCTTAGTAGTAATTATCCTAGAAGACTATAAATTAACACCTTAATTATGGATAATTTTAATCAAAAACCAAGAAGTTAACCTTGTTATATTAAACACTTTAATCACGTTTGCACTAATGCAATCAATACTGTAAATACCAAAATTCTTTATAAAGTCTATTCAAACCAAATTTCTGCTAGAATACATGATAATAAAAGAATATATAAAGAAAATGGAGAAGGAAATGAAGCATCCTCTTTTATAGGAAATTTTGGGTGGGAAATGTTAAATTTTCAAATGGAGTAAAGTATCTTTCAAGTTGAATTTTATTGCTCCAGAATAGTTTTAGTTGGAAAATTTTCAAATCACTCGTTTGAAAATATTTTGAAGGAAAGATGAATTCCATTTCATGCAATATCTGTTGAAAGAGTTAATTTTTCTGATTTGTTAATTTTATCCTAAGTGTCTCTTCATATATTTTATAATGCAAATCAATTGCATTCACACTTAGTAAAAATATAGATAATATTTTGATGGAGATAACACATAATTTGAGAAAATATTCAATAAAAAAAGATTAAATATTAAGACATGAATAAGGGTAAAGTAGTCAAAATTCTATCATAACTAATTTTTCTTAAGGAACGTGCACAAGATAATTATGACACATAATATAAGAGGAAAAGAGTAAAAATTAGCCGTCGAAATCATGGAATAAGATTTTTGTCACAACAGGTTAAACTATCACAGTGCGAAAATTATTTACTCTGTCGGTGGATATAAATAAAATCCAAGCCAAATTATGAAAGAAGAGAATGAAATAACTATACCAAGCTCTTTACTTTGGTGTAGAACCCAAAAACCCAAGCTGCTGAGCCAAAACATCCACATCTTCATCTTCTTCTTCAATACCAAGTAAAGTGATATCATCTTCAACATTTTCATCCAACAAATCCTCCCAAAATCCTTCATCAATTGCTTTATTCTCATGACTTTCTAATTCTCCAATATCTTCTTTCTCAATGGTGTAGTCTTCAATACTGATTGTGTTCCCACTTTGTCCTTGCATACTCACAGCAAGTCTCTCCAATTCAAAATCATCAAATCCATAAATTTCACCATAATATTCTTGAGGTTCTTGCTTTATATTATGATTTCCATCATTCACAGAATGGCCTAATTCTATAACTCCAACATTATTTCTATGACCTTGATCAATTGGCCTCCTTCTCTTCTTCCTAATTTCATCCTCTATTTGTTCTTTCCTTCTTTCCTTTTGCTGCATCATCTGCTCCAAAAATCTTGGATTTTGTATTGCTTTAGCCATGAAATTCATCATTTGTTGCTGTTTTTGTTCTGTCCTTTTAAGCTTTTCTTCCATTGCTTTAATGTATGATTTAGTAGTCTGCTGCTGTTGTCTAAGCTTCACCAGTTCCATCATCAAAACCTGCTTCTCGCGCCTTAATCGATCAATTTCTCCATCTAATTCAAGCTTTCCCAATTCAATATAAGAGTCTATACCTTGATTTGAGGCTTGGCCAGGATGGAAATTACTTGTCTTTCTCCTCCTAATTGCTTTCAAGAGATGCCTTTGCCCCCTCAAGAAACCTTCATTAGCAAACTCCCATTGGTCTGGATTCACCTTCCTAAATCCCTGCATGATAAATCACACTGATAGTACTCTTCCATTAGGGAGGAAAAGAAAGGACGATGAGAAAATCAACAATATTGGGATTTTATTTTCTACAATATATATATATATAAAATAACTTTTTATATTATTGTTGATTACCTACCTTATTTTCCAGTTTACTAAATATACTTTCTTGTATAATAGTTACATGATAGTTCTAGTTGTCTTTTAGTTGACATGATAGTATAAAAGTTCTTCCCTGTATAATAGTTGTACTCATAATAAAATTATCTTTTGTGCACTCATTAGTAGCTAGTCTGGAAGTTTAGCAGACCTGTACAAACTATAAGATGTCAAGAAACTCATACAAAAATTGCTACTGATATATACGAAAGAACTGCATACACTAATGAAATGTAGCTGGACAGAAGGTAATTGGAATTGGCTGATATTGTAATGATAAATACTCATAGGAAACTGACAATAACGATCAAGTAAAATCCCACTAGTGGGGTCTGGGGAAGGTAATGTGTACGCAGACCTTTCCCCTACTCGAAGGAGTAGAAAGGTTGTTTCCGAAAGACACTCGGGAAATCCCACGAGTAGGAAACTGAATATTTCATTTTTGTTTTGTAACCGAAGATTCACTCCCCTTTATTAGTGATTGAGCTGTCAATATATATAATTTTCTAAACACTTAAAATGAGCTGTCATTTTAAACAAAAGAAACAAATCTATTGCAACTTGCCAACAAAGGAAAAAATCTAGTGCAAGTGCCACTAAAGGAAACAAATCTGGTGCAACTGTGCAAGTTGTATTCCACAGACACCTCACGAACATGAGCGCAAATCATACAAAATTATAGAGCACTAAATAAATATCAACAACTATTTGGGTCAGTATGTAGAACTATAAGTCTTAAAACTTTTTTTGTTCCATACACTATCTAACTATATATAACCCTATATACTATTTGAGTTGGTTGGAGAAAATAATGCTTACATAAGTATTGAGCTGCCTGACAAAGCTTGAGAAATTGCTATGCTTGAAATACCTTGGAAGAAGATTCATAGCAAAGGTTTGAGGATCCCAAACAATGAAACTGTTATTACCTCTACTCCAAGAAACAATATCATTAGTGTTTGCATCATCCACAAGTTCATAAGTCTTTGTTAGAAATGGTGGAGGCCCATTCTCATGAAGCCCCTCCATTGGTTGAGGAATCCACATAAAAGAAGAAGGCTCACTAGATCCAGGAAACTCGTCTTTTATTAGGGCAAAATTAGGATCCATACTACAATTTTTGAAGAAACAATGGATAGAAAAATTAAATCGTATGAGGTGAAGCTCAAAAGAATAATATGCTTTGATAGAGCTGAAAATAACAAATGAGGATAATATATAATGTGTTTTTAGGTTTAAGGAGTTAGGGTTTGCGAGGAAGAGTTGGAAGTGAGGAGAATCAAGATTTAGATGGAAAAATGAAGAAAAAGGGAGGATAGATTATTTTCCAAAAAAAGATGGTGGCCGGATACAGAGATATGCAAAAACAGTTCGTAAAGTCAGAAAGATTGGTTTTGGATATGGAAGAGAAGGAGATGGAAATATGTTGTAATGGAGGTCAAGAGGGAGGAGAGAGAGATGGAAAAAGAAGCTGTTAGGTCACAGCTTGATCAATATAGGTTATGAAAATAACAATAGTAGTTTATTATGGAATGGCCCTTAGATATTTTCAGTCCCTCTACCTTTTTCCTTTTTGCCTTTTCCCAATATCCCTCCTCACTAACCCCTTTAGGAAGGTTTCGTAGGAGAACAGTTCTAAATCCTTTTCCCAAAATCCCTCCAAATGCAAAATTGGATAACTCCGACATCTTTTTTTTTCCCGCTTCTAGTACTGTTATAGGTAGCTTTTACTTCTTTCTAATAACAACTTGCTTGGCTTTAATGGCTTACATAAAATAAGACCATTCTAATCTTGTGTTGATTTTGCCTACTTATTGTATTGCGGCGGGAGAAATGTGGATGCAAGACTCAAATTTGAGCGCAACTGGGGGGCTCAACAGTATTTGTGGTCTAAAGCCAACATTTAACTAGAGGCCTTAAACCCCTTATTAAAGTGAATATATATATATATATATA